GCCAGTAACTTCCATTTTCAGCTTTCAAGTAAAAATATCAAATTGTGAAGTTAAGAAACGACAGGTCGGCGTGTAGCTCTTGCCAGTGTCCATTGTTGTGTCATGGCTGCGTGGGTCGCTGTTGTGCCTTGCCTGCATGGGTCACTTGTGTTGACTGCGTGGGTCGCTGTTGTGCCTTCACTACATGGGCCACTGTTGTGCTTTGACTGCATGGGCCACTGTTGTGTTGACTGCATGGGTCGCTGTTGTGCCTTCATTACACGGATCGCTGTTGTGCCATGATTACATGTGTCACTGTTATGCTTAGATTGTATGGGTCGCTGCTGTGCTTTCCATGCTGTCTGTTGCATGGGTCCCTCAATGTTTTGACTTCCATGCTGTCTTATTGTTGCATGGATCTCTTATTGTTTTGGTTCCCATACTGAACATATCTAGTTCATCTTCTGTCATCAACATGTTCTTTACGTCTCGTCATGTTCTAGCCTTTCATGAACATACCATGATTAGGTGCTCCATGAACATGTTTCGTCATGTTTTAGTCCTTTACGAACATGTTTCGCCATGTTCTAGAGTTTCATGAACACTTTTCACCATGTTCTAGTGCTCCACGAACACGACTCTTGTCTGAAACTCATTAAAGGAAAAGACAATTTTTTCTTGTATTAGAGTAAGGGAGAGCGAAACATCAGATGCATACACAACGCAGCACTGCGTATGTTCAGGAGGTAGGAAGATTATACACGCTGGAGATAATACAATATAAATAAGTGCTGGCAGACGAGTGCTGTCCTTAATATTTCATTATATTCTAGTCAATATACGTAAACACAGATAAATATACTTTAACCTAACTAATGCTAATCGAAAGCTAACCTAACTAAACCAATCTAACCCTACCTAACCTAATTCATCTTAACGTAACGTAACCAAAGAAAGCCTGACCTAACCGTACCTAACTTAATCTAACCTTCCCTAACCTAACCTTATTTAGAATAACATTTTATTTTATATTATGAAATATATGGAGAATTCAATGTGTGACGCTTCAACTGGAGAAAAATTTTCTATGTGAAAGCATAAGAAAGAGGAACACTGCAGCAGGCCTACTGGCCCATGCGGGGCAAGTCCATGTCAACCCCCGGTTTAGACCAATGTGATGACTTAAGCTGTAACAGGTAACAGTTCTGATAAACAATACATTTGGATGTGTTGAGAAAGACACACGAGCAAACACTAGGATATATTCAAAAAAAGTTTCGGACCTGGGACCTTGATCGAGGCCCCAGGACTGAAACGATTTCCAATTAATATATCCCAGTGCTTGCTCATGTGTGTTTGTAAACCAGTTTGTGGGTACATATTACCGAGGTTTATACCACAACTGGATGTCTCTGGTTAAACCTTTATCAGACTGGTGAGAAGATAATGAATGGCTGAAAAAAATAATGGTCTGCACACTGGTGGGATATAAATCTTATGATGAAACCGCACGATTCATTTCCTAAAATAGGTATTTTGTTGAGAGAGAGAGAGAGAGAGAGAGAGAGAGAGAGTGCTTCTTGCTGCAGCTGATTTAGAATAATCCGAACCAAAACTGACAATTTACAGTTTTTAGTCATTTGCAAATCTATTATGGCTGGATTAATTTTTAATATTTCGCCAGGACGGTATAGAAGGCGTCCTCCTGATAATCCGTTGGATTAATTTCTAGTCAAATGCATAACATCCATTCTTTTGTAGCCATACTTATTAAAAGCTGCATCTTTTTTCTGAGAAGCATTCTAATTTTAAACTTGTCGATTCATAATCCTTGAATTTTCAGTCCAGTTCAATTTTCTGATATATATGAAATGGAAAATTTCCCGTACAGTCACTTCGCCTTATTAAAACTGAGCCACACTAACAGGTGCTGTTAATGGCTTCATTAAACTGAGCCACACTAACAGGTGTTGTTAATGGCTTCATTAAACTGAGCCACACTAACAGGTGTTGTTAATGGCTTCATTAAACTGAGCCACACTAACAGGTGTTGTTAATGGCTTCATTAAACTGAGCCACACTAACAGGTGCTGTTAATGGCATCATTAAACTGAGCCACACTAACAGGTATTGTTAATGGCTTCATTAAACTGAGCCACACTAACAGGTGTTGTTAATGGCTTCATTAAACTGAGCCACACTAACAGGTGTTGTTAATGGCTTCATTAAACTGAGCCACACTAACAGGTGTTGTTAATGGCTTCATTAAACTGAGCCACACTAACAGGTATTGTTAATGGCTTCATTAAACTGAGCCACACTAACAGGTGTTGTAAATGGCTTCATTAAGCTGAGCCACACTAACAGGTGTTGTTAATGGCTTCATTAAGCTGAGCCACACTAACGGGTATTCTGAGAAATCAGAATGGGGGCACGTCGTCAACAGCTAACGCGACGGTCTGGAGTTTTGAGACTCTCTGACCGCGGGTTCAATCCCGCCCGTGGTATGGTTTGGGGGCACGTCACAAGCAGTGTTCCTCAGGGGTCGGTGTTGGGCCCGTTGTTGTTCACAATTTACATAAACGACATGGATGAGGGAATAAATAGCGACATAAGCAAATTTGCTGATGACACCAAAATAGGCCGTCCAATTCATTCTAATAAGGACACTAGAGCACTCCAGGATGATTTGAATAGACTGATGCAATGGTCGGAGAAGTGGCAGATGCAGTTTAATATAGACAAATGCAAAGTTCTAAATGTTGGTCAGGTAAATAACCATGCCACATATAAACTAAATGATGTAGATCTTAATACTACTGATTGCGAAAAGGATTTAGGAGTTCTGGTTAGCAGTAATTTAAAATCAAGACAACAGTGCATTATTGTTCGCAATAAAGCTAACAGAATTCTTGGCTTCATATCAAGAAGTATAAATAATAGAAGTCCTCAGGTTGTTCTTCAACTCTATATATCCTTGGTTAGGCCTCATTTAGACTATGCTGCACAGTTCTGGTCACCGTATTACAGAATGGATATAAATGCTCTGGAAAACGTACAGAGGAGGATGACAAAGATGATCCCATGTATCAGAAATCTTCCCTATGAGGATAGACTGAGGGCCCTGAATCTGCACTCTCTCGAAAGGCGTAGAATTAGGGGGAATATGATCGAGGTGTATAAATGGGAAACAGGAATAAATAAAGGGGATGTAAATAGCGTGCTGAAAATTTCCAGCCAAGACAGGACTCGCAGCAATGGTTTCAAGTTGGAAAAATTCAGATTCAGAAAGGATATAGGAAAGCACTGGTTTGGTAATAGAGTTGTGGATGAGTGGAACAAACTCCCGAGTACAGTTATTCAGGCTAAAACGTTGTGTAGTTTTAAAAATAGGTTAGATAAATACATGAGTGGGTGTGGGTGGGTGCGAGTTGGATCTGACTAGCTTGTGCTGCTGGGTCTGGTGCAGTGCTCCATCCTTGAATGGAGATGATCAGACTGGGTGGGTCATTGGGCTAATCCGGGGGGGGGGTTCATTGGTCTAATCCGGGGGGGGGACATGGACCTGCTCCGCATGGGTCAGTAGGCCTGTTGCAGTGTTCCTTCTTTCTTATGTTCTTATATATCTAACACTAAATTCGTACAGGCAACACATACCCAGGGAATTCGGAGATAATTAAATTTGATCCAGGGAAGGGGAGAATAGGTTCATTTATACATTTATCAAGGCACCTCCATTGAAGGGACTAACTTGGTAATCTTTATAATAATTTGATAAAGATATCTTCGAGTCACACGTTGAGTTAATAAAGTCATGGTCTGCTGTGGTGACTATCTTATTGATCTTGGTAATAAAGCTTCTGTTCTGAGGGACTATTTTATTATTCTTGGTAATAAAGTCTCACCAGCACTTTGCCTTTCAATCAGAAGCTGTGATTAATATTTTTATATTCATAGGGAAGCGATAAACCAGTAGGGGTTTTACATTATGTTTGACTGAGGAAAAAGGGGTAGCCTCAAATTCCTAGAGCAGCATCAAGATCGTCTCCTCCCCATTGAAGGGGACGCTGTGATCAAACAAAGACATGTAATTAAGGAATATATGCTGGTTATCCTTGATAGGTATAACTAACATCCTCCTGGCTGGAGAAGGTTAAGATACCGAAGATTAAGATACCGAAGATTAAGATACCGAAGATTAAGATACCGAAGGTTAAGATACTGAAGTCCCCCACTACTTCCCTAGTAGGGAACTTCCGGGAGGGGTGAGGTGGGGTGCAGAACCTGCCCTTCCTGGTGGGGGGGAGTGGTTGATCCTACCCTGTGAAGTGGGGTGGCTCAGATAGGGAGAGTAGGGCCAACTCTGCCATATTTGATAATTTACCCTACCAGGAAGGATCACACACTGAGGGTGAAAAAGAATGTGTTATTCTGCCAGGGAGGGTGAGAGGGGGTTATATCACATACCCTGCCAGGCAGGTTCTCCCAGGAAGGGTGACAGGGGGGTGTATCACATACTCTGCCGGGTGGGGACCACCAGGAGTGACAAGAGTGTATCACTTACCCTGCCAGGTGGGGTCCACCAGGGAGGGTGACAGGGAGGTGTATCACTTACCCTGCCAGGTGGGATCCACCAGGAAGGGTGACAGGGAGGTGTATCACTTACCCTGCCAGGTGGGATCCACCAGGAAGGGTGACAGGGAGGTGTATCACTTACCCTGCAGGTGGGATCCACCAGGAAGGGTGACAGGGAGGTGTATCACTTACCCTGCCAGGTGGGATCCACCAGGAAGGGTGACAGGGAGGTGTATCACTTACCCTGCCAGGTGGGATCCACCAGGAAGGGTGACAGGGAGGTTTATCATTTACCCTGCCAGGTGGGATCCACCAGGAAGGGTGACAGGGAGGTGTATCACTTACCCTGCCAGGTGGGATCCACCAGGAAGGGTGACAGGGAGGTTATCATTTACCCTGCCAGGTGGGATCCACCAGGAAGGGTGACAGGGAGGTGTATCACTTACCCTGCCAGGTAGGGTCGCCCAGTTTTCCTTCCATGGTGTGGGTCTTGCCTGAGGAAGTCTGTCCGTAAGCGAAGATGGTGCCATTGTAACCGTTGAGCACATCTGTTGAGGAGACATGTGTTAGTGCAGGTTCAGTGTACAGCAGAGCACACACGCACGCACGCACGCACGCGCACGCGCACGCACACACACACACACACACACACACACACACACACACACACACACACACACACACAATGCAAAGTCATGGAGAAGATTATCAGGAGAGTGGTGGAACACCTGGAACAGAACAAGATTATAAATGAAAACCAGCATGGGTTCATGGAAGGCAAATCCTGTGTCACAAACCTTCTGGAGTTTTATGACAAGGTAACAGAAGTAAGACACGAGAGAGAGGGGTGGGTTGATTACGTTTTCCTAGACTGCAGGAATGCCTTTGACACAGTTCCCCACAAGAGATTAGTGCAGAAGCTGGAGGATCAGGCGCATATAACAGGGAGGGCACTGCAATGGATCAGGGAATACCTGACAGGGAGGTAACAACGAGTCATGGTACATGAAGAGGTATCACAGTGGGCGCCTGTGACGAGCGGGGTCCCACAGGGGTCAGTTCTAGGACCAGTGCTATTTTTGATATATGCGAATGACATGATGGAAGGAATAGACTCTGAAGTGTCCCTATTCGCAGATGATGTGAAGTTGATGATAAGAATTAAATCGGATGAGGATGAGGCAGGACTGCAGAGAGACCTGGACAGGCTGGACATGTGGTCCAGAAACTGGCTTCTCGAATTCAACCCTGCCAAATGCAAAGTCATGAAGATTGGGGAGGGGCAAAGAAGACCGCAGACAGAGTATAGGCTAGGTGGACAAAGACTACAGACCTCACTCAGGGAGAAAGACCTTGGGGTGGCCATAACACCGAGCACGTCACCGGAGGCACACATCAACCAAATAACTGCTGCAGCATACGGGCGCCTGGCAAACCTGAGACCAGGAGGCCTGGTCACAGACCGGGCCGCGGGGGCGTTGACCCCCGGAACTCTCTCCAGGTAAACTCCAGGTAATACCTTAATAAGGAATCGTTCAAGACACTGTACACTGTGTATGTTAGGCCCATACTGGAGTATGCAGCACCAGTCTGGAACCCACACCTGGTCAAGCACGTCAAGAAGTTAGAGAAAGTACAAAGGTTTGCAACAAGGCTAGTCCCAGAGCTCAGGGGAATGTCGTACGAGGAAAGGTTGAGGGAAATCGGACTGACGACACTGGAGGACAGAAGGGTCAGGGGAGACAAGATAACAACATACAAGATACTGCGGGGAATAGACAAGGTGGACAGAGATAGGATGTTCCAGAGAGGGGACACAGAAACAAGGGATCACAACTGGAAGCTGAAGACTCAGACGAGTCAAAGGACGTTAGGAAGTATTTCTTCAGTCATAGAGTCGTCAGGAAGTGGAATAGCCTAGCAAGTGAAGTAGTGGAGGCAGGAACCATACATAGTTTTAAGAAAAGGTATGACAAAGCTCAGAAAGCAGAGAGGGAGAGGACCCAGTAGCGATCAGTGAAGAGGCGGGGCCAGGAGCTGAGTCTCGGCCCCTGCAACCACAATTAGGTGAGTACACACACACACACACACACACACACACACACACACGGGGCCAGGAGCCATGACTAGACCCGTGCATCAATAATTAGTTGAACACACAGACACACACACACACACACACACACACTCAAAATTCCCTACTGATTACATTAACATATATTTAGAAATGTAAGGCCATACCTTACAAACCATTCAAAGACACATGAGACATTAAAAAAGGTCCGACTTCCTGTTTCTAAATTGTAAGAAAGTCTGTGATACAGTGCTACACAGAAGGCAACTTAGCAAACTGAAAAAGATAAGTTTATGACCAAAGTCAAGTCCCATTTGTCTATAGTTTATATTATTGACTTAATAATAGTAATAAACATCTACAAATTATTGTTTACAAATGCAAATAATGAAAAAATATTCTGAATATATTTAGAAAAAGGTGCAGGAGAACGTGAAGAAGGCTTCAGGAATGAAGCTGAGGCCAGGAGATGAAGCTGAAGGCAGCGTAACATCTCGGGGGATGAACTCATGACAACAGACAAACATCTCGTAATAACCTTTACCCTTAAACTCTTTCCCGAAGACAACAAAGTGACATCATCATTACAAGTTAAGCTTCCAAACACCAGAGTAACATTCTTGAACCTTCATAAAGACTTCAATTTTTTTTTTTATCTTTATCGAGTATGCAGCGCCAGTGTCACTAAGTCCCTTAAGTAGTAAAAGATAAAGTGAATCTCGCAGAGTTGTAATAGAATACCTCAAAACTGGTACTTGATTTGAGAGTTATAAACCATGAAGTACAAATGGCAGAGCAAGACCTTCCGTCTCGGGAAGGACGACAGTGATAGAATTACACCGTCACATAGACAGAACACAGGAGAGGCTGTTTACTAGAAATATGATAAGAAGAAAACATGACTTAAAATTACACACCTAAATTAGAGACAGAAATTTTAGGAAACTTTTCTCTAACTTAAAGAGAGGTTAACGAAGGGAAAGTGTTGAAACAGTGAGACTACATACAGGCTATTAAAACATATTATGGCCATAAAGTGCATATGCAGATCCAATAAATACAATAAAACAATACAGTTTCAATTAAATTCACAATGTTGTAATGAGTTTAACTGTTGTATTTTCAATAAACCATTAATTACGGGATCCACTTTCAATAATATATTCTCAAACGCTTTCAGACTAACCTTTATAAAGCATTTCAGGCCTCATATTCCAAGCTAGTGTCACAATATTTAAGCAGTTATTACGTTGAATTGCGAGCAGTTAGCACCAACAGCCTGGCTGACAAAGGAACTGACAAAGTTTGATCCGAGATAAAGCCTCGGGGCGTCATCCCTTGTAAATGTTGCCTCAGCTTTGGGGGCGTCGCATCCAGTAAACACTGCACCAGTGTTAGGAGAGCCTACCCCTCCTTAACATAAACTCCTCTCGCTTCACTGGCAGATAACTGCCTTCAGATCCGAGTTTCTGAGAGTTATTTTTCCGTTTATCTTGCAAACAATACCATCACTTGTGAAGGAAGGCGCGGCTATGTCCCAGGGCGGTGTTTGTGGCACAGTAAGTTGCCTCGCTAAGTTGCCTCAGATCTTTATAGAAACATTTATTGCCATTTGACACGCCCAATTCAGCTCCTCAATGGTGGGTATGATAGTACAGGGCAGGCAGCCATGACTGGTATGGTAGCGTTGCTGCATAAGCTTTTATTCTGGGTATGGTAGTGGTAAGCGATAAGTTGTAATGGTGAATATGGTAGTTTCATTAGCTCGGCTGCTGTGGTAGGTATGTTAGGGTACTGGGTTGGCTGCTGTGTTGGATAAGGGTTTAGTACTGAGTAGGCTTGTATTGTGAATATGGTAGTGGTACTGGATAGGCTGTTAGGGTGGGTATGGCAGTGGTATTGGGTAGGGTGCTACGATGGTTAAAGTAGTGGCACTAGGTAGGTTGGCAAGATTATTATGACAGTGGTATGACAATAACACCAGGTAGACTGCCATGGCTAATTGTCTAATTTATGGAAGCACTGGAAACATACACTCATATTCGGGGCGGCTCGAATCCCCGTCAATCCTCTTGTTTATTCACTGGTGGTAATTAATTACAAGATTAGGTTTATCAAATTGATAAACCTAATCTCGGCTATCTGCTCTCGTCTCCTATTCAGTCTTTATAAAAAATAATCACATAAGAATACCCTTAACAATATAGATCAATTTATTTCCCCATATCCGTAATTCATTCCGTGCCGTTGAACAAGTTTCAGCAAATTTATAGGAAAGGGGAAATATCCCTGTCATTTATGCGGAGAGATTCAGGCTTCCATCCCAACGCACAAACGCTTAGACGCACCGTTAGTTAAGGTAGTGGGTATGGTAGTGGTACATGAGCAAACTGTCATGACGGGTTAAATATTAGTGCTAGATTCTGCTATGGTGGGTATGGTAGTGGTACTAGGTAGGCTGCCATTGTGGGTGTGGTAATAGAACTGGATAGCCTGCCAGTGTAGTAGTAGTAGTAGTAGTAGTAGTAGAAGTAGAAGTAGTGGGTGTGGTAGCAGAACTGGATAGCTTCCCATGGTGGGCATGGTAGTGGAATTGAATAACCTGCCATGCTGGGTATGGTAGTGGTACTAGGTAGGCTGCCATGGTGAGTACATTAGCTCAACTCGACAGCCTGCCACGGAGAATATGGTAGTGATACCAGACAGGTTGCCACAGCGGGTATGGTAATGGCACTGGGCAGACTGCCATGGTGAGTGCGGTAGAAGACAGGTTACCATGGCAGGCAAGCATGGCATTACCATCAACTACATTGCAGGCTTCCACGGCACTGGCACTGAAGGTAATTAAAGTAACTCAAGTTAAATGATCTGGTCAGCCAGGTGTCGCCAGTTAATGTTGAAATGTAATTACTGTGAGATTCTTCCCACGCCTCTCTCTAGTGAGTTCTTTTTATTACTCCCACGACCCCTCCCTTGTGAGTCCTCTTTATTGCTCCCACGACCCCTCCCTTGTGAGTCCTCTTTATTGCTCCCACGACCCCTCCCTTGTGAGTCCTCTTTATTGCTCCCACGACCCCTCCCTTGTGAGTCCTCTTTATTGCTCCCACGACCCCTCCCTTGTGAGTCCTCTTTATTACTCCCACGACCCCTCCCTTGTGAGTCCTCTTTATTACTCCCACGACCCCTCCCTTGTGAGTCCTCTTTATTACTCCCACGACCCCTCCCTTGTGAGTCCTCTTTATTACTCCCACGACCCCTCCCTTGTGAGTCCTCTTTATTGCTCCCACGACCCCTCCCTTGTGAGTCCTCTTTATTGCTCCCACGAGCCCTCCCTTGTGAGTCCTCTTTATTACTCCCACGACCCCTCCCTTGTAAGTCCTCTTTATTACTCCCACGACCCCTCCCTTGTGAGTCCTCTTTATTACTCCCACGACCCCTCCCTTGCGAGTCCTCTTTATTACTCCCACGAACCCT